ACGAAAATCTATCCGAGAGCTATATCTAAATTTGAACCGATTTTCAAGAAACTTAACACACATCATTCTAGACCTAATTCATTACGCTCTGCCAAATTTCGTGCAAACCGAAAGATATTAAGGGACCTTGGTACACCATTTACCTTAAATCGGACGAAAATATATATGGGAGCTATATCTAAATCTGAACCGATTTTCAGGAAACTTAACACACATCATTCTAGACCTAATTCATTACACTGTGCCAAATTTTGTGCAAATCGAAAGATATATAGGGTCTTTGGTGGACCATTTACATTAATTTGGATGAAAATATATATAGGAGCTATATCTAAAGCTGAACCGATTTTCAGGAAACTTAACACACATCATTCTAGACCTAATTCATTACCCTGTGCCAATTTTCGTGCAAATCGAAAGATATATAGGGACTTTGGTGCACCATTTACATTAACTCAGGCGAAAATATATATGAGTGCTATATCTAAATTTCAACCGATTTTTCCCAATTTGAATAGGGTTCGTCCTTGGGCCAAATAATTGACCTATGCCAAATTTCATATAAATCGGATCATAAATGCGACCTGTACTTTGTTCACAAAAATACATGGACGGACAGACGGTTACAAACATATGCACAAAGACATAATACCCTGTACCGCAGTGTGGTGAAGGGTATAAAAACTCGCTTGAAATCCTTAAAATACCGAAGATTGGTGGTATCGGAACATGGACCGATATATTTAAATTTCATCTAAAAATGCTATGAATGATAACAATATCATAAATATTACTTCGTGATTTCAACAGACGTCTGTGACTAAATCGATTAAGAATATTATTCTCATCAAAAATATATATTTTATGGGGTATCCGCGAATATTTCGAGATCTTTGCAAACATAAAACATTTATCTAAATTTCAAAACTCTATTTGATGTGTAAACAACAAGTTTTTACATTCCTTATTTCCTCGTGATGTTGAAATTTCACCTAGACCGAACTTAAACACGTTATTTTCTTTCTACTTTGTTTTGTTTTCTGTTCTTTAAATTGCAATTACGTTGTGAATTTTTTTCTGCCTTGTTAGCATTATAACCAATTAACTTGTATAGTACACAAGTTCATTACCCGACTTTAAGAAAATCAGAATAAAGGGGTAAGTTCATTGTTCTTCATGAATAAAAGCTAACATAACAGCAAGTCCTTGTTCCACTTTTACTTGTGTATCTTTTGTCTGGTGTTCTGGTTACTGACGAACGGGGGTATCCGTTGGCAACATTGATTCTCTTGCCACATAAATAAACAACGATATTTAATAATTTTATAATTTAATCTTACTCACTCAGTCATACTTGAGAATGCATGTATGTAAGAAACATAAATGTAATTATTATCATGTACATATATGTAGTATTCATGTTACTTGTTTTTATTACGTAAATAAACAATGAATGTTACATTAGGATGGGTATTGTGGAAAAGGCATTCGAATTGTCAACATTTCGAAATATCAACCTGGGAAACATTGAGGTATCATATGTTTTTGATCAGACTGTAGAAATCACGATAGAGCTCACTATATGCGCCCATAGGGTCGCACTGTAAGGTGGAGTGTATAATAAATTTCTCAATCTGTTTGCAACGCATCGAAATATTCACCTGAGACCCCATGAAGTATATATATTCTTGATCAGAATAAAAATCTATGTCGATTTGTGCGTGTCAGTCTGTCTATTGAAATCACGATATAGATCGCAATATTTCAGAAACGTTTTACAACAGAATTGACTGTAATTTGATACGTTTGGTTCTCATTGGGTATTAAATCTTACTACCGAAAATTATCAATATTGGTCCACTTTATAATGTAGGCCCCACATAACGGTACCCTCCATTAATTGGTATTTTTGGAGTTTTAGACAAGCTTTTCGATATAATCATTTGTAAATTCGTATTTTAGATTCACGTTGAGTATCAATTTTGCCTACGAAAATGACCAATATTGGCTTATGTTTCGGGGTAGACCCCATATAAATTTTGGTATAGTAGTAGTTTAGTGACCAGATCAACGACACCCGCCGGTACAGAGTTTTTTAGTCTCTCCAACGTAACATTACTTACTTTACTATACTCCACCATGGACTCCTTCAATATGAGAGTGACAACTGCCACGGATAATTGTAATTTTCTATTACTTCAATAGTCGGCACTTTAAGGTTTGTCACATTTTAAACGTTTCACCATCCCGAGAGTATTTTTTCTTTCATAAAAACCTTTCCACTTCAATTACAGATAACAGAAAAACATTTTTAGTCAAATTGGTCCCGCCGTTCTCAATTGCAGAGTTGATATACATTTTTTACATCATTTTTATAATCTTTTTTTCGTTTGACTCCCTCGCATTTTTAACGAAAACAGGTTATCTATGAATTGGTGTCGGAATATTTAACGTCGATTGAGCACCCAATTTCTAATCGGGCAAAACGCAATGAAATTACAGTAGATATCGGATATAAGCACATCTCATATAAGAAAAAATCGGATATAAGTGCACTGACATAAGAAATGTTTGTCAAACACCAAAGCTGACAAAGGTATTTGAAAACGTTTCATATGAGAAAATATTTAAGATTGTTGGCCACACTGAATATGTTTAAATATTGTTAGTCAAACTATGAACTGATTTAATTTTGTTATTTTTGTTTATTTAAATTTTTAGTTTTTAAGATACTGAATTTGTTCTTGCCAAACTGTGATTTAATTTCGTAACTTTGTATTTTTATATACTGAATTGTTTTATTTAATAAAATAATGTCCTTTAAGGGAACCCCTCCCATTCTCGATTTTTTTATTTTTAAGATTTTAAATGAGCTGGCAAATGATAACCTATGCATGTTAAGGTTTGTAACTTTGCACATATATATTTGAAGATTTAAAAAGGAAGAAAAATAATTTACAAAAATTTTTTGTTGTTGTTTCTGTGATCAAAGAAAATGTCCTTATTTTTGGGCATGATAACTCCTCACTGGAACATCGGAATCCGAAAATTCTAAAGGTGTTAGAAAGAGTACATGTCTGGCTCTCGTATGAACTAGGATTATTGACTTCGCACAACAATCGCCTATTTTTGACCACAAACTAAGTTAAAAAAAATAAGAAAGATCTACACCAATTGGCTTTATCCTAGTTCATACGATAGCTATACACTCACAGAGAAACGTCCCAAAATTTGAAATCAATTGGGTTATTAATTTTTGAGTTATCGTGCCCGCCATTCGCAAAAACGCTGTTTGGAGAAAAACGCGTTTAAAGTTTGTGGAGCCCTCTTGCTGTCACCTGTTGCTAACACAATAAATCGGCTATATCTTCAAAAATTAAGATTTTCACTTGAAAATTTATAGAGACATACTTTAATTAGTGTAGGTTCAAATTAAACCAAAATAAAAAAATTGGTTAAAATTGGTGCAGTAGTTTTTGAGTTCAGCGATCACGAACATACACGTAATTTTTATATATATAGAGATAGAGATTATTCTAGTTAAGAAATGTAAACAAATTATTTACATACCACCTTAATGTATGCGTATACATTTTATACCAAGCCAATCATTATTTAAGCCCAAAACCTGTTTCAACAACTTGCCGTAAAATGAGGCAACTGTTAACGGCTTTTATATTTTTTTCATTCTCTTTTATGCTTTGTCTTTTTTGTGTATATTCTATTGGTTGTTTACTTTTTTCTTCGTAGAAGACATTGTTTACTAAAATTTTAGCTTCTATGTTATTCATGTGAACGTGATTTTTTTACATCAATTAAACTTTTATTGGGGTTTGTGGGATACTTTACTCTTAGTAATCTATTTCTTCATTGCTGAATGTTATTACCAGGCAGCACTATCATTGTCGGAGTGGGAGTTAACCAATATTGGATGGAAACGGTGTATTTAGTTTATTCAAACCCAAGTAAACTGTTTACATATTATAATATAGCTATAGGTTGTAGTATGGTAGAATTATTACACAGTCTATTAAAATGCTTTCTCATTGTGTCCTGCATTGTATTTATTTCCCGTAGAAATTAATACAGTTTTTGCTTATATCTAGTGTGTTATTCTTACATCTAACGTGTTCTCATACAATCGATTTCAAATTTGTACACGTTTCTCTGTGAGTGTATAGCTATCGTATAAATTAGGATAAAGATAATCGGTGAAGATCTTCCTTATTTTTTAACATGGGTTTTGGCGATTTTCTAAAAATATTTTTTCAAAGGTCCACTATTTTGTTAATTTTAGAGCGAAGTCAGTAATCCTAGTTCATACGAGACCCAGACATGTACTCTTTCTAACACCGTTGGAATTTTCGGATTCCGATGTTCCAGTGAGGAGTTACCATGCCCGCCATCAAAAATAAGGACTTTTCTTTAATTACAAAAAACAACAACAAAAATTTTTTGTAAATTATTTTTCTTCTCTTTTAAATCTTTAAATATATATGTACAAATAATATATATGTGGATGAAATAAACATTTCATACTGAAGAAATTTTAGAATTTCATGTTGAATATAGTTTTGTTACATTTGACAGAAGAAGGCAGTACCTACATAGTTGCTTTTTTTCTATTCCCATCGAGCGGTCCTACCTTAAATTAATTAAATATTATGTATATTTACATGTAAACCTGATACTGGTTAAACTACTAAAGGTATCCCCCAAAACTCTACACCTTGCATTTCGATTTTCACTTAAAAATGAAGCAAAAGAAGGTTTTTATTGCCTTGATATGTTTTTCACAAAACTTTACTACCATTCTCACATAAATTAATATCGTACTTTCCTTTTGTTTCCTTTCAGATGCCAACAATGAGATCAAGATAATTTTTTCACATCGAACTGAGAAACGAACTCCCCCTCCAAAACACCACACAATCACTTTACTTTCACATCATAAATCTGGCGTCAAGATGAATTCGTCAGTAATCAGCAATACCACAACGACAACAAAATATAACAAAAATACTCCCACTAGATTAGAGAAGAAAATCAGAAGAAAGATAAAATATCGTGACAAAATGAAATTCGTTTGTAACGCTTCAATGTTAGGCTTAATTGTAGTTTTAGTATTAAATATAGAGTTAAGAGGAGTAGAGGCACAGACACGTGATCCAAGATTTTACTCCAGAGTGGGTGTTAATGATTATCAATGGCCAAATCCTGGAGATCCTGATTACAGGTATTGTATTGCGTATTAAAAAGTAAATAATATGTATTTTAAATAACGAATTTTTTTGCTTACTTAAGAACATATACATTCAATGATCGGCGTTATGGACACTATCAGCCGAATGGCTATGGCGACAAATATCCTGGCAGAAATCCACCTGGCCAGTATCCACAGGGCATGCCAAATGAAGATCGATTTCGTTTCGATCCGGTGAGTATTTTTTATACTAAATTTCATATAAATTCAATGTAATGTAAAGAATAAGGCATTGTTTCATGTTACGTCATTTTTGAGACTTGATATCAGAATATATTGTACTAGCAAAGTACCCGCTACTTCGTATGCGGAAAGGGAATAAAAAAATATTTCATATGGAAATGGTGAATACCGTATAATTAGTTGTACTATACTTCTGAATTCCACCTCTATTCCTACATTTAATATCAAGTTTATTACCATTAATTACTCTTCATACACATAAGCACTATTTTCCGAAATCCACACTTTAGCAAAAACGTACAGGTTCCACATGTAATTCCATTTAGAGCTTTTCGAACACCGTCACCTCCACTAAATTTGGTACCAAAAAACCTTTGGTCCTTCTTTCTAACTCTCTGTCAATGACCAACATTCCAAATTTTAGGTTTCCAGCTCTCTCCGTTATCCAAGTTTAGTGAATTTTCTATTCTATACTATTGGTACACATAAATTCGAGTTTCCAAAGTTGTCTCCATAGCTCAATACTACACTTCAACAGTAATCTAAGTTCCAAATCTCAAGATTCAACCAAATCCAAATTGTTTCAAATTTAGTACCATTTAGTAATTCTCATACTCATAGGTAAGAATTTCTAAAACTACATAAATCCATCAATCCTAATCTTACTTCCACCAAAGTCCAAATTGTTCCAAATTATTTTTAAGTCCAAATATTAGGATTCCCGCTCACACAAAACGAATTGTACCATATTTAGTACCAATTAGGTCTTCTCGTATCCATAAGTACGAAATTCCAATACTTCCTTAATCTTGCAATTTTAATTACAAATTTACGTTTACTATCTCTATCCGTTAACTCGAATCAAAATTGTACCAATTTTTTACCATTTAGTACACATAATGACGAATTTTAAAAAATTACCGACATATCTCAATTCTGCACTCAAACTGTAATATTAATTCAAAATTTTAGAATACAGCCCTATCCGTTCACACATTTGTAAGATTTCCGGACCCATTTAGTACTTTTTGTTTCTATAATTAACAATTTCCTAAACTATGTCAATCTTACACTCCAACAGTAATTTTAATTAAAAAATTCGGGAGTCCAGCTCTATCCGTTCACACATAATCAAGTTGTACGAAATATAGTACTATTTAGTACACATAGGTACTATGCTTCCATATCTCAATTCTATATTCAAACATCAACCATTAGTCCAAATTATGGGTTTCCAGCTCTCTCCGTTCACCCAAATCCATCTAGTGCCGTTTATTACTTTTCGTACACATAAATACGAGTTTCCAAAGATGTCTCTATAGCTCAATCTTCAACAGAAATCTTAATTCCAAATTTCAGGTTTTCAGTTCTATCCTTTCAAGCAAAATCCAAATTGTACTAAATTTAGTACCATATAGTACCTTTCGTACCAATAAGTACGAATTTCATAATCTACCTCAGTCCTACATTCCAACAGTCATTTTAATTCCCAATTTGAAGACTTCAGCTCTGTCTGTTCACCTAAATCCAACTTCCACCAAATTTAGTACCATTTAGTACTTTTCGTACAAATAAGTACGATTTTTTAAAGCTAATTCCGATTATCAAGATTCCATCTCTACACACTCAACTGAATGTAAATAGTACGAAATTTAGTACCATTTTACACTTTTTATACACATAAGTACGAATGTACTTATTTCCGTACATCAACACTACTTCCCAACCAGTATTCCATTTCATATGTCAAGATTCATGCTATATATGTTCAATATATATACAACAGGAAGTAAATTCAGTAAAGTTTAGTACCTTTAGTACACTTATAGGTCGAATTTCCAAAAACCCTTTGCACATCATTCTAACTTTCCATCAGTGACCAACATTCCAAATTTCAGAATTCTAGCTCTTCCCGTTCGCTAATAAAAAGGGTACCATATTTGGTACATTTTAGTACTTTTCGTACCCTTCTACTTCCAACAAAACTTCCTGCATACCCCGATCCTACACCCCCATAATGACTGTACACTGTAGTATGAATTTCCAAAACTTCCTACTTAACCCAAACCTACACTTCACAGAGATCCTAATTCCAAGTTTCAGAATTCCAACGCTATCGGTTCACTCACAATCCAAATTGTACCAAATTTAGCACACAGTAGTATGAATTTCCAAAACCTCCAACTTACCCTAACCCTACAACCCCACAGTGACCCTAAATCCAAGTTTCAGGATTACAACTCTATCGGTTCACTCACAATTCAAATTGTACCAAATTTAGTACACAGTAGTACGAATTTCCAAAACCTCCTACTTACCCCAATCCTACACCACCACAGTGATCCTAACACCAAGTTTCAGGATTCCAACTCTATCTGTTCGCCCACAATTAAAATTGTACCACATTTAGTACACAGTAGTACCAATTTCCAAAACATCCTACATACCCCAATCCTACACCCCCACAATGATCCTAAATCCAAGTTTTAGGATTCCAACTCTATCGGTTCACCCTCAATTCAAATTGTACCAAATTAAGTACATAGTAGTACCAATTTCCAAAACTTCCTACACCCCCACAGTGATCCTAAATCCAAGTTTCAGGATTCCAACTCCATCGGTTTATCCCCAATTCAATTTGTACCAAATTTAGTACACTGTAGTACGAATTTCCAAAACTTCCTACAGACCCCAATCCTACACCCTCACAGTGATCCTAAATCCAAGTTTCAGGATTCCAACTCTATCGGTTCACCCCCAATTCTAATTGTACCAAATTTAGTACACAGTACTATGAATTTCCAAAACTTCCTACAGACCCCAATCCTACACCCCCACAGTGATCCTATATCCAAGTTTCAGGATTCCAACTCTATCGGTTCACCCTCAATTCAAATTGTACCAAATTTAGTACATAGTACTACCAATTTCCAAAACTTCCTACATACCCCAATTCTACACCCCCACAGTGATCCTAAATCCAAGTTTCAGGATTCCAACTCTATCGGTTCATCCACAATTCAATTTGTACCAAATTTAGTACACTGTAGTACGAATTTCCAAAACTTCCTACATACCCCAATTCTACACCCCCACAGTGATCCTAAATCAAAGTTTCAAGATTCCAACTCTATCGATTCATCCACAATTCAATTTGTACCAAATTTAGTACACTGTAGTACGAATTTCCAAAACTTCCTACAGACCCCAATCCTACACCCTCACAGTGATCCTAAATCCAAGTTTCTGGATTCCAACTCTATCGGTTCACCTACAGTTCAAATTGTACGATATTTAGTACACAGTAGTACGAATTTCGAAAACTTCTTACTTACCCTAAACAGAGATGCTAAATCCAAGTTTCAGGATTACAACTCTTTCGGTTCACTCACAATTCAAATTGTACCAAATTTAGTACAAAGTAGTACGAATTTCCAAAACGTCCCACTTAACCCAAACTTTCACCCCCAGACTGATCCTAAATCCAAGATTTATGATTCCAACTCTATCGGTTCACCCACAATTCAAATTGTACCAAATTTAGTACACATTAGTAAAAATTTTTAAAACTTCCTACATATCTCGATCTTACACCCCAACAGTTATCCTGACTCCAAATTTCATGATTCTAGCTCTATTGGTTCGCATAAAATTCAAATTGTACCAAATTTTGTACCATTTAGTACCCATGAATATAAATTACTGAAACTGGGTAAAAAAATTCCAAAACTACGTACATTCCCAATCCTACACTCAGATGTCCAACTCCTAATGTTAATTTCAAATTTCAGGATTCCAGCTCGATTTGTATCTCCAAATTAAATTTGTACCAAATATAGTATCATATAGTACTTTTCGTACACATGAGTACACGCTTTCAAAACCATCTCCTTAAATAGACTCTACATCTCATCCCTAAGTCGCATTCCAAATTTCAAGTTTTTAGCTCTATCAATTCACATGCTACGAAATTGTACAAAATTAAGTACATTTTAGTACTTTTCGTACCCTTCTATTTCGAATTTCCAAAAACCCGTTGGTACATCTATCCTACACAGCGCCTATATAACAGCATTCCCAATTTTCGGTATTTTAAAACTTTACATTTTACAACAAAAGTGCCTGAAATTTAATATTTCTGGTGACAAGTGGGTTACAAAATTTCCCAGGAAAAAATAGCGGTTCACTTTTTATTTATCCAAAACTAAAAAATTGTAATAATGAAATATGAGAATTCAGTTTATACCTCATTTATGCACTTTAAAAATTCCCATTTCTGACAGCGAATCTCCCTTTTACGTATTACAAACCGAATATAATTTGTTGCAGTGCAAGACAAACTGGGTCAAATCTTCGTACAATTAATAAACGAACATGCAACACAATAAAACATAATTTCATATTTTCAATTGAATGATGATCATCATTTAATCACATTGGCAGCGAATTACATCCCATGTTTGATACGTTAATTGAATTTGTAACGCATATGACCATAAACGGTTAAATACATTATGGACGTATTTGTCCATTAGCTAATCAAACATGTCATCATAGAATACAAAGAAATTCATCTATTTGGAAATGTTGGGAGTCTGTCAGACTAGACACATATGGTGGGTACATCTATCTAATCAAACCATATATCTAGAATACAAGATGTACAAGTCATGTTCACAAATCATCTTGGGATGGGAACACACTAATTAACAACAGATTATTTTTTGTGGACTATTAAAGAAGAAGATACGTTATTTTCATCATATTTTGTTTTCTTTTACTGTTACTTTTAGAACAATCCCAATGAGGGACAAATACCATTTCCTGGTATATTGGCTGGTTGGCGTGAAGATTTACAAGGTAAACAGCGACGTGATTCTTTAACATTGGAGCGTGATGTTTTTGTCACCACTAATTATGGTCAGGTGCAAGGCTTCAAGGTGTACATGTATGATAATCCAGATCCGAAATCATTTTATCGACCATATCATTCGACTGTGGATCGTAGCATGGGTGAATGTTCTGTATTTTTGGGTATCCCATATGCCATGCCACCAACATTCGAAGGGCGTTTTAAGCCACCTCGATTGCATAGAGGCTTTCAATTGCTGCAAGCTGTTGATTTTGGGCCGGCATGTCCTCAGCCGGTACGTTATACAGGTGCTACCAAAGGCATTATGGATATGGATGAAGATTGTTTATATTTGAATATTTATTCACCAAAGGTAAGTAATGGCAAATATTAAATTTTCTATAAGAAAACCAAAATTTCAGAGAGCAAACCAAACTATATTAGTCTTACGAGCCTCTATTTTCAATTTTTAAATTTATATTTTATCTATCTTTCTCATTTCAGACCGGTGCTGGGGTGGCTCAAAAATATCCGGTAATGGTTCACATACATGGCGGTGATTTTGTACGTGGAGCTTCAAACCTTTTCCAAGGTCACATCTTGGCATCATTTTATGGTGTTGTGGTTGTTACATTCAATTATCGTCTGGGAGCACTTGGTTTCCTTTCGACAGGCGATGAAAATTCACCCGGAAACTATGGTATACTCGATCAAGCAATGGCCCTAAAATGGGTTTATGATAACATTGAATTTTTCAATGGTGATCGTGATTCGATAACGCTTTTTGGATCTGGAGCTGGTGCAGCATCGGCTGGATTACTTATGGTAGCTCCACAGACTAAACATATTGTAAAACGTGTTATAGCTCAATCTGGATCGGCATTAGCTGATTGGGCTTTAATTCAGGATAAATATAGAGCTCAAAATACAAGTCGCGTTTTTGGCCAGTTGTTAGGCTGCTCACTGGAATCCTCATGGAAATTAGTGAATTGTCTAAGAACCGGAAGAAGTTTCTATGAATTGGGCAATGCGGAATTTCCACCCGATGTGGGCACCTTCCCATGGGGTCCTGTATTGGATCATAATTTTACTGTACCCGGTGATGATTGGTATGATGGTTGGCGTGAAAAAGATTGGCGTTTCCTTATAGATACTCCACTGAATTTAATACGCCAAGGAAAATGCAATAAAGGTATACAATATATGACAGGTGTTACAACACAGGAAGCAGCATTTTTTGTTTCGCAAAATGAATCGTTGGCACCGTATTTTGAAATTGATAATAAATTTTTCGAACAAAAAATACGAGAACATGTTTTCCGTTACAATTACACACTGAATCCGAATGGGGTATACGAAGCCATTAAGTACATGTACACCTATTGGCCAGATCCAAATAATAGCACCATTATAAGAGATCAGTATATAAATATGTTGTCCGACTTTTATTATCGAGCTCCAGTAGATCAAATGGTCAAAGTGCTGTTGGAACAAAAAGTACCTGTCTATATGTATGTTATGAATACTACGGTGGAGGCTTTAAAATTACCCGAATGGAGAAAATATCCACATGACATTGAACATTATTTCTTGACCGGTGCTCCGTTCATGGACGTGGAGTTCTTTCCCAAAAGTGCCCATCTCGAAAGAAATATGTGGACAGACAATGATCGTAATATGAGTCATTTCTTTTTACAAACATTTTCGAATTTTGCACGATATGGGTAAGTTGTTTAACAATTTTATTCATTTGATAAAAATTATAACTATTTATTTTGCTATAAAATTTTAGTCACCCTACTCCTCAACAAGTTTTGGGTTTACATTACGAACGTGCCTATCAGGGTGAAATTCGTTACTTGAATATCAACACAACTTATAACTCGTCGATATTACTAAATTATCGCCAAACTGAAAGTGCCTTTTGGACACAATACTTGCCAACAGTAATTGGAGTCTTTGTTCCGACATATCCACCCACCACTGAATTCTGGTGGGAACCAAAGGAACCGCTACAAATAGCATTTTGGAGTATGTCTGTAGCGTGTTTCTTTTTGATCGTTTTAGTTTTTATCTGTTGCATTATGTGGAGAAATGCCAAGAGGTAAGATATGACGGAATTTAAAGAAAACTAGACAATTATCTGAGTATAACTTTTTATTAAAAATTTGGTTTAATTCTAGACAATCTGATCGTTATTATGATGAAGATGTATTCATTAATCACGATGGCACCGAATACGATCATGAATCTCGAACTACCGGTGTTGATAATACCAATTTAGCTGCAAATCATCAGGTGATGCGATCACGTGACAACCTCTACGAATATCGAGATTCTCCATCATCGAAAACGTTAGCCAGTAAAGTCCTAACGGATACCACATCAATACGATCTCCCAGTTCATTGGCCACAACACAAAAAACAAGTGGCAGTCAATCTTCATTGAAATCTGCAATATCGCTTAAGGAAAGCAATGGCGGTGGTACTCTATCGCCATACTCGCGACCTCCACGTAGTGAAGCTACTGTTGCACCAGCAGCACGTGTAATAACGAATGGTGTTGCGGTTGCTTCTTTGAATCAACCTAAATCAGTGGAGGAGAAACGTTTATTACAACGTGAACCCATACCATTGTCATCTACACCCGTTCCCGTGGAACCAACTTATAAGCCGGCATCAAAACCATTACCCAGCAGTCGAAGTACAACACCTGTACCAAGTGCCCGTTCGACAACGACAACTACAGCCACATTGTCTTCCGGCATAAATGTTCAACCATTGGTTGGTATTTCGAAATCACAATCCCGTACTCAAGTTATAGAAGGTGTGCCGCAAACATCTGTATAAGAAATCGCTCTCTAAATATTACAATATCAGATAAAGTATCATCTATAGATATTTTTTCCGCTACTGTTACATTTAGAGAGGGAGATATAAAATATGAATATATTAATTGTTAAATGTTTAAATAAAATTATATTTTGTTTGTTGATTTCTTTATGCAAAATGTAATTTTAATTAAACGCAATAACTGTAAGAAATTAAATTGAACAGCTTGTATTTGTAAATTAAAACGAATTCTAGAGAGTTACTGCTGGTCCAGATATTCGATATGTTTTTTTTTCAGTAACTGTGTTTTGAAAATAACCCACATTAATTGATTGGAATAAAATTGTTAAAGAATTTGACCTCAAATTATAAATTATCTTGTAAAAATCTTTATTACAAATCTGTTCATCCATTCAAACTTGGTATATTTTTCGATCATTCTTATAATTGCTTATAAGAAAATTATAAACATAAATATAGAAACATTTAATTAAATATAGTATGTATGTAACGACAATATGTAGAAATTAAGTTCATATTAAAAACACGATCTTTAAGGTCATAACAATTAGGAAGGTATATATATATATATATTTTTGTATTTCTACATACACATACCACAAAGCATTTAAGCAACTAATTTTCTATAATTATATATAGTTTTTTAAGTAACAAAAGAACCAACCCATGAATACAAATCCATATCAAAACATTCCAATTTTAATAATTTTAATATTAGTTTAATAATAATGTTACTTTTGTAAATAAATAAAAATGTTTTTAAATTTTTATTTATTTTTCAACTTATAATTAAATGTATACAACTTTTTGTTTTATTTTATTTTAATTTTTTTTACAATGCCTTGTACTTGTAGGTTTAAACATTAGTTTTGTAATCATTTGTGTACATTTGTGAATCGTCGCATATCAGTGAAACCGTCCAATATTTGTATATGTTTTCGATGTGTTTATTTGTTCAATTGTCTTATATACTCGTGTATCGTTGACATATACCATAGAAGTATTTTGTATGAGAACAAAATAATATTTATGTATAAGTTAGTTTTATTACTATTATTAATTCTTTTTCTAATATATCGTTTTACAAATTGCACATTTATTCCCCTAAACATTAATTTTCGTTTTATTTGTTTATAGTATCCATGACATATAAATAAATCTTCATATATCATCAAATGTGTTGTCTTCCCAATCATTCTCATCATTTTTGTTTATGTCTTGTCCATGTCCTAAACTGAAGCATACATACATGTATGTATATTGTGAATGTTTATTTAACTATCAAAGGTAAGTAAAAAAATTTAGGATATGAATTCCATTTGAATTTCGAAACATTACAATTGTAATCTTAAGTCTCGAATTACTAATGCAATCTTTTCAACTGAAATGCTTGCAATAGTCAGCTTCTTCCCACTCCAATATTTGTCCTAAATTATATGGATATTTCATTGTGAAGATGCATAAATTGTAAATTTCTACATCCCGTCCGCTATTGGCACTGGCGTTACCAGTTATCACTCAATCCATCTACAGATCTTAGTGATTTTAGAAATATACATGACAATATATAGTATTATCTAACAAATTCCTGATTATGCAAGACATAGATGCGAATTCGAAATCGCCATCTTCAATAAGGAATCCTCAACAAGATTTAACTCAATTCCAAAACCATAGAAATTCAATACCATCGAAGTACCTAACCACCCCATTTCCTTTACATTGTTCAACGACTCTCTTTCTTATTATGGTAATAAAAACTCTGAACTATTATGGTAAAATGTTGTTTAAATTTCTCATAAAGAAATGTGCCATAATTTTCGAAATATATGTTGACAAATTTTACTTTAAGCAGTTGTAGACTTAAGTTATTAAATTACTGTACCTTGCACAGCCAAATTCAAAGTCTGTCCTTTTTCCAGAAGTATTGAGGGTTCCGGTCTCGTCATCTTAGCAGAAGACTATTTTTTTTCTTGTCCTAAAAACCCAAAATAAAACAATTTATGTTTTCAAATTTACAAGAGCTTATATTTTTATGACATCTTAAAATAGAAAATTAAAAAAATATATATTCTTCAGTAAAAACAAAACCATACTTCCTGTGGTAAAAGTAAGAATTTTGTTTAATAATCCTTGACTAACATATTGCGTATATTTAAAAAAAAATATAATTTAAATTATTTTATTAAAAAAAATTAAAATAGGATAATGAAAAATCCTTTTCAAGGTCACATTAAAAATAGAAATCATTATACTTATAAATATAATGAGGCAGCAAAAACAATATCTCGTTTCAGTAAACGTATACCTTCGGCAAATTTGTTCTCCAAATCTGTATTGCCTATCGTCTTAGCAGCCTGACACATTTGACGCAAAAGCTCTTCCAAACGACGCATACAACGAATAATTGATCCCTCAAAAATATCTGTCATTTTGCAAACATTCAAAAACGATGTACCCTTACACCAGGCAAGCACAACATCCATAAGGAAGGGCTTGAATTTATCCACGTACGATTCTTCGTCCAATTCCAATTTACATTCATTTGAAATTTTAGCTATACGGCGGGCCAATTCTTGCATTGAACGCAAGGGTCCAGATAATTCTTCGGCTGAGGTTGGATTTTCGGAGGACTTTTCATCACACACAAAACATGAGAGTAGGGATACAGCTTGTGCTGTTGTCAAGTCATTGAACACACCATTGAAAATCATTTCAGTCATTAGTAGTTCATCGGCAGAACTAAGTTCACAAGCCACACGACCCTTGAATTCAATAACATCTTGGGCAGTACAGTATTCCATTCGTCGAAGAATACGTTTACGATGCTTTAGTTCGTCCATTTGAAGAAGGCTTCTTGCCTCTTTTAGCTTAGCTTTGGCTGTCTTCAATTCTTCCATAACTTTTAATTTTTGGGTGTACAGAGCATAGATGCGATCCAATTCAGGTGAATTATGTAGGGGATGGGCAAATAATCTCTCTTCGAATTTAGCTATGGAGTCCACAATATTCTTAAATTCTGGATCCTTAATGTTCATTTCAGTAATTGGATTTAGCAGTGGAAGTCCCTTTGGGAAACGGTTCTTCACTTCTTTTATTGTTTTTAGGACTGATCTGCGGTTATCGGCCGGTCTTAAATCATTAGGATAATACACTCTCAGTGATGATATTTGTGATATAAGTTTATGTACAACTGGAACAACCTCCATGTTTCCTTTTTGACCGGGCTTGCAAGGCTTTGGATCATCGTTTTTGGACGACTCTTCCGATACATGTAACAGGACATCGACAATTACAGATGTTTCAGCTTGTAAAGGATTTTTAGTTTTACTTGTCTGCTTCTTAAAATTAACCACTATACCCCAGTCATATTCCTCTGTATCGTTTTTGACTTTTACCAGACGTCCGGGTTGAAGATATGGTACTAGATATTCTGGTTTTGTAATCCAAGTTCGAAATTGTTTACCCAATGAATCAAGTTGGTCACGAATGTGATGATACGAAGCTACACTATGTTCTTCATTTATTTTAAACTTCTCCAGTTCCTTTTGTTTTTCTTGTACCTCTTTATATAAGTCTGGAATGGAGGACTGGTTTTGGAACTGAAAGAATGATCGTTCCAACATATATTCGGGATTGATTTCATCCACTCTCAGCAGATTTAAAACCATATTATAGGTTAAGTGGAAAGCAGAATTGATGGGATCCGCTTTTCCTTGAACGATACCTCTTCCGACTGCTGGTGACACCTTTTCATCAATCATTAATATAACAATACCTTTGTCATCCAAACCACGACGACCGGCACGGCCTGCCATTTGAATATATTCACCCGAGGAAATCCAACGAAAATCTTTGCCATCAAATTTTCTAGGTGCTGTGAAAAGAACCGTTCTGGCCGGCATGTTTAGACCCATAGCAAACGTTTCAGTAGCAAATAATGCTTTAAGTAGACCTTCACCGAACAAGATTTCAATAATTTCCTTAAGAATTGGCAATAGACCACCATGATGTATGCCAATACCTCGACGAAGTAGTGGTAAAACATTCTCAACTTGGGGTAATTGACGATCTTCTTCCGATAGTACATCCAAAGCATTGTTGAAGACTTCGTCGACCAATTTCTTTTCCTCGGCAGTATTGAAATCTAATTTCGCCATTTGCATGGCATACACCTCACAGTCTTTTTTACTGAATGAGAAAATGATTACGGGGGCAAAATTCCGTTCCATTATCATTTTTACAATTTTGAAGATATTCGATTGGCCAGAGTTGACACCTTTAATGCCACCTTTACGACCTTTTTGATCACCTTTAGCGGCTTCACCTAGAATGGAAGAGAAAAATATTAAAATAAGTTGTCATATTTTTGAACCTAAGTTGAAAGGAATTGGATGAGCTGCTGAAAAACTAGGTAAATCTATACTTTTTTTAATACTGTGGTGACTCACGACTTACACATATGGAAATGTAAATATTGATTACTTACCAGCATTTTGTAAGACAGCCATAGCAGTTTTAAAATTATCTTCCTTAAATTGACCTTTTTCATCAACAATTAAATGTATACCATCGCCACCAGCCGGAAATATGTAGTGCTGCAAGGGCGTAGGACGATAATCAGTGTAGACGACGTGACACGGTTGCTTATGCAAATGACAAACCCACTCAGCAAATTGTCGGGCATTAGGAATTGTGGCAGAAAGGAACACATAACGAACGTTATCGGGCAACAGGATCAAGGTTTCTTCCCACACAACACCACGTTCTTTGTCACGCATGTAATGGATTTCATCGAAAACAACCCAACCGACTTCACGCATAATTTCACTACCACGATATAACATGTTACGCAAAATCTCTGTAGTCATAATAAGGCAAGAAGCTGAGGGGTTAATTGTAACATCACCCGTAACCAGACCCACATCTTTAAATTCTTCACTAAATTCTCTGTACTTTTGATTGGACAATGCCTTAATAGGTGTGGTATAGATGACACGTTGTTTGCAATTAAGGGACTTAGCGATAGCGTATTCAGCTACCACAGTTTTACCGGCTGATGTGTGAGCCGAAACCAATACACTTTGTTGGTTATCAATACACAGAATTGCTTCCTTTTGAAAAGGATCCAGGACGAAGGGATACTCCTTAGCTGGGGTACCAGTAAACGGCTGCAAGGGTATGTAGTCCTGTCCGGGATATACTGCAACTTCATGTGTGCAAGATTCCGGTGATTTAATCACATGTACTGCAATTCGAGATTGTAAAGCGTCGACACAAATGTCATCCAATATAGACTCGGTCATTTTAGCACGTTTATTGCCTTCATCATTATCAGCATCTTCGGAGGTAACAAGTGGGCGCTTCTCCGTTGTCTTTGGTGTCCTAAAACAACAAAAATTTGATTACTAAATTTCATTTTGAATAACAATTTACTTACGATTCGTTTTCGCCGTCATTTCCCTCAACGACTGGAATTGGTGGTTCTATAGCATTTGAATCATCCTGCTCATTGAAACAATTGAATAAATCGTCCACATCGGCCATTGTGATGTGCAGTAAACTTGTTTTAAGTCACAAATTCCTCTCCTTTAATTATTTATTCAATTTGTTAAAAGTAATAACACAAACGAACACGAGTTTACCACACGCTACTTCAATGAAAGACCGATGTCTGTTGTACTGAATATCGATAAACGATAACTTTGATAGTTATTACGATTACACAAAAACTGTAGAGACCTAATGTTGTATTTGCTCTTTACCTAGTGTTTACAAATGACATTTTTTATGTAGACAATAGCAAAGACACAATCCATTAAAAAATATATATTTATACAGTCGAGTACGGTTATATCGACTAGTAGGGACTAAGCAAATTATTTCGTTATATCCAGGTAAAGCAAAACATAGGCTTAGCAGAAAAAATATATATTTAGTTAGAAACTAGTAAAGGGCTAAGCAGGATGCTCGCGTTGAGCCATCCGTTGCGTTATGTGTTATCGAAAATGCAACAACCACAAGGAAACGAAAACTCGCAACGCGTTGCTCAACTTTAATATAGCTGATATACAAATCTGTTCTTTCCTCAGTGGAGTATTGGCTACAAGCACTTGCAATAAGTATTTGAATGTCGCTTGCTTGCACTGTAGTAAATCTGTTGTAGAATAAATGTATAGGGGAGAGGGGACACCTTTGAACACTTTTTTCTTTCAAGCCTCATAAAATTATTTTACAAATTTTGGTTTCTTATAAATCTTAACTAATAGGTAACCTTTGCAATGAATATATATATGACATACTTTAAGCATGATATAAATATTGTATTGCTGTTTTAAGGGAGGAAGTCAAAGTGTTCAAAACTGTCCCCAAGGGGGGCACCTTTGAACAAGGCTTGACATTTTTGAACGGTTTTTACAGTGTTTATGTTAAAATATAAATTTATTTTATTCAAAGATATCAGAAATGAATTTATTTATTAAAAAATATATATAAAAATTTTCGAAAATTAAAAAAATCAGATCATGACATAAAAACAAAAATTAATATGGTGAAAAATACAGTTAATTTCGTAATCTTATTATCTCATTTGAAAGTTTGAGAAATCGAAGCCAAAAGTTAAAAACTCCGCTTTTACTCGAATTTAATGGGCATGTTCAAAGGTGTCCCACCCGTCGCATTTTACGGAAATGTATAATAACATTTTTTGTAATAAATATATTAGAAAGAAATTACATTAGTTATGTTTGAAACAGGGCTGTCCACACAAATACATGCAAATGTTTGTTATTGTATTTGTTTCAAATACACACTGTGAGAAAAATTGTAAAAACTTGTATTTCAAATTTTAAGACAGAAAAACATTTTGTATTTAATGCAAATATGCTTGTTAATGATATATTTTCCTATATAAAGATAGACATATTTCGACTTTTTCTGAACTAATTTTTGGCGAAAAAGTCCTAAGTTTTTCGTTCAGTGTATGAAAACAAAAAGGAATGAATGACAATTTTGAAAATATTTTTTATTTTCAAATGTTTCTATTTTTATCATTGTGTGTGAGAGAGTTTTGACACACACCGACATCCCATGGGACCTATTTTGGGCACTGCTGGTTTGAAATGATTATTGGAATGCAAAAAAATTTGTTTAACGAAAGAAAACTTTCACAGAATTCTTCCTGCGCCCTTAAAACCAAAATAATAAAAGTTTACAATTACACTGCGAAAACATGTACAATTTGTCGACAACTGAAAAAGCTAGCCAAAGTGGTTTACGCAGATAAAGAACAAGATTGCCATATACAAAAATGTGGTAGCGGGTCGGAAAAAATTTAAACCATGGTTTTATGAGCGCTGTTCAAAGGTGCCCCCGTTCAAAAGGTGCCCCCTTATCCCCTACATACAATTTGTCTATTTTTAAAGTTAAATACTTACAAAGCTTGAGGCAGTACTAGAGGATGGTGGTTATTCTATATTGTATTTCTTCTTCTCTAGAAGAAGCGATTCCTCTAAATAAATACAAAGTTAAATTTTAAATGCGTTAAGATTTGCGAAATCAACTCGATTCAAAATATCAATATTGTTACGAATATAACTTTAGATTTAAGTTAATTTAGATGAATTCCGTTAATTTAAGAATTTGAATTGTAACGTAAATTTCTACTACGCAGTTTATTTGAATAACTTCACAATAACAACTACTGTATAGATTTTTCTACATCCTTCCATTTCCTCTTTCATTGTCTATTTTTTTTTTGTTGACGTACAATTCTTGTTAAACGTCATCATTGATGATCGCTTAATTCCTCTTTCTTTGTTACCCCCTCGCCTGTATATGTGTTGTTGTTATTGTTTACTCACTGTAAGGTTGTATGTGTTTGTTGCATTTGTAGATTATTCGTAATCTAGGTGTTACCAGATCGTCTAGAAACTTCGGTAGCGACAGGCGAGGCTCATATAAATAGGGGAAATGGAAAGGCAGTCAGTCAGTTGCGAATCAGATCGCGAATTGAGACCGTCGAGTAAAGTGCAAAGTAAAGTTGTGTGAATAAAATCATTGTAATAATCGTAATCCGGAAGAACCCGCGTTTTATTTGGTACGAGCTGTATTGGGAAATAAAACAACGTCTACACGGGATTAGGTAAAATCCAAGAACGTAACAATTGGTGACAGAAGTGGGATTACGATAATACTACGATGAAGTTTAAGGATCTACGAGTGGAAGACTTGAAGAAGGAACTTAATAAATTGGAATTGTCCTCTACTGGCAACAAGGCTGAACTACAAAAACGTCTGTTGGATGAGTTCGAGCGCCGTGGTATGAACATCGATACATATGAGTTTGACAGTAAGGATGAAGTGGATTTATCGGAAATGGGCGAATCCAACGGTGAGGAAGTCTCGTCAGTAGCTGCCAGGAGTGACGATTTCAGAGAAATGCTGGCCAAAATGTTTGAGGAAAATTTCAGAAGGTTCGAAGAGAATTCCAGGAAGTCAGAAGAAAACTCGAGACGAATGTTCGAAGAGAATTCCAGGAAGTCAGAAGAAAACTCGAGACGAATTTTCGAAGTGAATTCCAGAAAGTTAGATGAACTCAAGGCAGAGAACTGTAGAATGAACGAGAAACTCGAGAACATTACAGAAGTTATTGGAAGGAGAGTGGAAACCGTGGAGGTCCAAATTAAAGAGTTGGATAAGAAAGTGCAGTCGGTTGACGAGAAATTTCTGGCCCACGACCACAGGTTTACGAATCTGGAGAAGAAAATTTCGGAACTGGAAATTAAAAGTGGTCCGGTGCGAGCTCCTGATAACACACTAAAAATCAAACCTCCTGTATTCGACGGCTCTACGTCATTCAATGTTTTCAAGTTACAGTTCGAGACAGTGGCTTCTAGAAATTCGTGGAACGACAGCGACAAAGCGGTTGCACTACTTCTGGCATTGAAGGGCAGTGCTGCTGATGTCATACAGAGTATTCCTGTCGCTTCTAGAAGCAACTATGAAGATGTTATTGCGGCACTGGAACGTAAGTACGGTGGCGAACATAAACAAAACATCTACCTTATGGAATTAAGGGGAAGAGTACAGAGGGCAAACGAGACGTTACAAGACTTTGCAGCTGAGGTGGAACGTTTGGTGTTAATGACGTATCCAGGAGAGAATCACCCATTGCTGGACCGTATGAAAATCGAAACATTTGTGAATGGCATACGTGACCCTGAGATTAAATGTGCAACATATGCGTCACCAAAAGCGTCATTTGCCGAAACCGTTTCGTTTGCTCTTGCCCAAGAGACGGCAAGAATAATTGTTAAGCCCCAGACCCACAAGATTCGTCAACTGGAGACCGAATGTTTCGAACCCCAAGCTCTCGTTAACTCGATCAAGGACGCCATGAGGCAGGTAATAGAAGAAACAAAGTCAGTAGGGATGACTAAGCCCAGGATTAGATGCTTCAACTGCGATAAAGCAGGTCATATTGCGCGCGAATGCAGAGCTAAGCGCAAACGATCCAGGTCATTGTCACCACCTCCAACGAAAGATGGTAGAAGAATGGCTCAACAGTCCACCAAGGAGTCACCGTTAAACTAAATCGAGCCAGTCCAGCGGGGCATGAACACGGCAAGATTACCCTGAGACTAACTATTGCCAATAAATCGGAGAATTACGAGTTTATAGTTGCCGATATCGTAGACGAAGTGATAATAGGCGCAGATTTTATGATTGCCTTTGGTATCAATCTGGATATGAAAGAGCGTGTGATGACCTGGTCTAACGTCGAAATTCCGTTAAACGTGGGCTACGATGAAAGTACACCCATTAGACGTCTGACAACGGACCATCCAGAGATAATACCGCCCTGTGCCGAAGCAATAATATGGGTACCAATGAATGGAGATTGTGGAGCCGAGAAGTAGTGGGTGGTGGAACCAGCAGAAAACATAAACAGTAATATCCTTATAGCGAATGCTCTGGTGAAAAGCAACAAGGACAGATTGATTCCTGTTAGAGTTTTGAACCTGTCAAACAAGCAAGAGCAAATTTGCCAATTTTCCGATGTTGGACAATGCACACCAGCTGAAGCTGTAATTAATTTGGAAACTAGCACCGAAAAGCCAGCAGCCATGGAGAAGAAGCACCTCGACGGCTACATAAAAGAGTGGACACACCAATTATCACCTTCCGAGATGAACAAGGCTAAGCAGCTATTATGGAAATATGCCTCTACCTTTGCGTTGACAAAAGAGCACCAGGGAAGAACATCAGTGGTGAAACATGAAATCCATACAGCAGATGCGAGACCCATTAAACAGCCTTCAAGAAGTGTTCCCCTGGCGAAAAGAGACGAGGTCCAGAAGCTGATAAGTGAAATGGAAAAGAGTGGTGTAATAGAACCATCGTCAAGTCCATGGTGCTCCCCAGTGGTATTGGTCAAGAAGAAAGACGGAAGCACCCGATTTTGTGTGGACTACCGAAAGTTGAATGACGTCACCAAGAAAGACAGCTATCCGCTCCCAAGAATCGACGACACATTGGACACATTAGCCGGGACGTCATGGTTCTCTACCCTCGACCTGCAGAGTGGGTACTGGCAAGTAGAGATCGCCGAGAAAGATAAAGAGAAAACAGCGTTTGGCGTTAATGGGGGTCCCTGGCAGTTCAATATCATGCCATTCGGACTCTGCAACGCCCCGGCTACATTTGAAAGGCTGATGGAGCGTGTGTTAAAAGGGCTGCAGTGGAAGTCGTGCCTCATATACCTGGATGACATCATAGTCATGGGACGCAACTTCGACGAACACATCAAGAACTTAAAGGATGTTCTACAGCAGCTTTCGTCTTCAGGTCTCAAGCTGAACCCAAAGAAGTGCAGTTTCTTCCAACGAGAGGTGGAGTTCCTGGGGCACCACGTGACGCCGGAGGGCATATCGACGGATAAGGAGAAAATTCAAGCCGTCAGAGATTGGCCGCAGCCCCGAAATCTCCATGAGCTGCGAAGCTTTCTGGGTCTCTGCACATACTACCGTCGATTTGTCCAAAATTTTGCCAACATCGCCGCCTGTCTACACCGCTTGACGCAAAAAGGCCAGAGGTTTCAGTGGGGCAACGACCAGGAGGAGTCATTCAGAAAGCTCAAAGACATGCTATGCAGAGCCCCCATTTTGGCATACCCTATACCTGGCGGCAAGTTTGTTCTTGCCGTCGTCTCGTTGATGTCCGACTATTGCAGTTGGAGTCGGGTGAAGTTTGGTCGACGGAACAACGAAGAGATCCCATTCTGGGCAAAGTAATTTCGGCCATAGAAACGGGCAAGCGACCTAGTCGCAAAGAAATTACCTCCGAAAGCCCTCTTTTAAAATCCTATTGGGCCCAGTGGGACAGTCTACTTATAATAGATGGTTGCCTATATCGCAAATGGGAAAGTGAGGACGGTAAATCTCACCGGAACTTGATCGTCGTCCCAGACTCCAAAATAAGAGATGTCTTGTCGGAGTTTCACGATGGCCAAGTGGAGGACATCTTGGCATAGCAAAAACCGCTGAAAAGGTAAAGCAGAGATTCTACTGGGTCGGCTGTCAAAAATCCATTGCCGACTGGATCGCCAATTGTGAAAGGTGCATAAGAGCTAAAGGTCCCACACGGAAGAGTCGAGGCTACATGCAGCAGTATAATTCAGGAGCCCCTTTTGAAAGAATCGCAATGGATGTAGCTGGACCGTTCCCAACAAGCGACTCTGGAAACCTGTATGTCTTAGTGGTCATGGATTACTTCAGTAAATGGCCAGAGGTTTATGCTATCCCAAATCAAGAAGCCAGGACAATTGTGGATGTGTTCAGCAAAAATTGGATTTGTCGCTATGGTGTTCCATCTGAGGTTCATTCCGATCAAGGTAGGAATTTTGAATCAGCGATCTTCAAGGAAATGTGTGACTCCTACGGAATCAAGAAAACCAGAACGACGCCCCTACATCCACAATCAGATGGCATGGTGGAAAGATTCAATCGCACCCTGGAAGAACATCTACGGAAAGTGGTGGACAGTGGCCAACGAGACTGGGATGAGCATATTCCCAAGTTTTTACTGGCTTATAGATCGGCCATTCATGATTCCACATCCCGGACCCCAGCCAAAGTTCTGTTCGGAAATGAATTAAAGCTACCTGGCGATTTTATATTTGGTGCTACCCCAAACGACGATGTGAACCAAGATGAAGACAGTCAAAACTCTTTTAGTAAAGTCCACGATGCAGTCCGACATCAAATAAACATGTTTAGCAACCGCATAAAGGCAAGGTATGATCGAGCGGCAAATACCGATGGGTTTCAAGAAGGGCAACTGGTACTATTGTTCAACGCACAACGAAAGAAAGGACTGTGCCCCAAATTGCAAACGCACTGGGAAGGACCCTACAAGATTGTCACGAAAATAAATGACGTCGTTTATCGCATCCAGAGGAGCGACAGTCCCAGGTCGAAGATGAAAGTTGTACATTTGGAGCGGCTGACCCCCTACGGAACGGGAACTGTGCCTATTCGTGACCAACAGGCTTAAGCGGGGGGCAATGTTACGAATATAACTTTAGATTTAAGTTAATTTAGATGAATTCCGTTAATTTAAGAATTTGAATTGTAACGTAAATTTCTACTACGCAGTTTATTTGAATAACTTCACAACAACAACTACTGTATGGATTTTTCTACATCCTTCCATTTCCTCTTTCATTGTCTATTTTTTTGTTGACGTACAATTCTTGTTAAACGTCATCATTGATGATCGCTTAATTCCTCTTTCTTTGTTACCCCTCGCCTGTATATGTGTTGTTGTTATTGTTTACTCACTGTAAGATTGTATGTGTTTGTTGCATTTGTAGATTGTTCGTAATCTAGGTGTTACCAGATCGTCTAGAAACTTCTGTAGCGACAGGCGAGGCTCATATAAATAGGGGAAATGGAAAGGCAGTCTGTCAGTTGTGAATCAGATCGCGAATTGAAACCGTCGAGTAAAGTAAAGTGCAAAGTAAAGTTGTGTGAATAAAATCATTGTAATAATCGTAATCTGAAAGAACTCGCGTTTTATTTGGTACGAGCTGTATTGGGAAACAAGACAACGTCTACACGGGATTAAGTAAAATCCAAGAACGTAACAATATTTTCATACATTTTTATACTCTCCACCGTCTGTTCGTCTGTTGTAATCACTCTAGCGTCTAAACAAGTTGAGATAGATCGCCAAAATTTTGCAAATTTTTTTCGAAGTACCCCCCAATTTTCGGTATTTTGGGGTTCTTGAGCGCGTTTTTCAACAGAATTCGCTGAAATTTGGTATATTGAGTTGCTATTGGGTACCCAATTTCTCCACAAAAAATTATACATATAGGTCCATTTTTTTCTGGTAGCCCCCATATAACGGTACCCTTTAAATCTCAGTATTTTGGGGGTTTTGATCCTAGTTTTCAACCGAATTGGCTGTAATTTAGTACTATGAGTTCTTATTGGGTACCAAATCTCTCCACTTAATCTTATAAATATAGGTCCATTTTTGCTGGTAGCCCCCATATAAGGGTACCCCCCCAAATGTCGGTATTTTGGGGCTCTTGAGCGCGTTTTTCAACCGATTTCGCTGAAATTTGGTACATTTGGTTCTTATTGGGTCCCAAATATCTCCACCAAAAATTATAAATATGGGTCAAATTGTTCTGGTAGCCCTCATATAAGGGTACCCCCAATTTTCCATATTTTGAGGTTTTTCAACCGAATTCGCTGAAATTTGGTATTTTGTAGCCGAATATGGTAACAAATTTCCCTACAAAAAAATTTTTTAACATGCACCCCCTTTTTGGGGTAGTCCCCATATAACCCCTTTTTATACCCTCCACCATAGTATGGAGGGTATATTAACCCCTTGGGCCCCGAATTTTTTTCCGTAATCATAGAACAATTTTCTGTTCACAGATTTAATGCAACTATCCTAGATAGGAT